GGCAGGTGTCTGTAGTCCCAGCTACTTAGAGGCTGAGTGAGGTAGGAGAATTACTTGAACCCGGGAGGTAGAGGTTGCAATGAGCCGAGATTGTGCCACTGTACTCCAGCCTGGGCAACAGAGCGAGATTTCGACTCAATCAAAAAAAAAAAAAAGTAGATAATTTCTTAATCATCATGAAACTGGAAGTTGCAACTCTAATGGCCATTTTACCCCCTTTTTACGTTCCTGATGATAAAATTTGAAATTTCCTTCATAATTCACTAATAACAAGCCTAATGCCGATGGTTCCTAAATCATACTAATGAAACAGTAAAAAACATTGTAAAGAAAATTTCACAATAAATGTGATCAGAAAGGTAAAAAATATAGAATATATTCTATAGGTAAAAAAAGAATATGTTTTATTCATTTATAAGATTAGCAATTTCTTCTAAACAGAAACAGTTATAAATAAAAGATAAAAACACATTTTATAAACTCTGAGACAAGTTTTACAAAAGGAAAAGTTCTCGAGTATTATGTGCTTAAAAAGAACATAAAAGAGACAGTAATTAACACAGGGAAATGAAGAGACAAATGTACGGATGCCACCTTTGCCTACTGCCTTCGCTGCAGAGCTACTGACGTACTATTACAAGAGAGATGCTACTTTATAGCAAATTAGATGATAAAAATATTGAAGTCACTCAAACTAAATTTCCTGAACATAATAGCAATGAAGGTGATTTAGCTTATATTTTGCAGCTACTCCATGACTAGCTAAAATTTAAAAAATATATAATCTCAAGTTACTATGACATAAATATCAATTACTCTAGTCAAAATATAACAAATCATAACTTGTTATGTAAATATTAATTGCAAAAAAGGTTTGCTTGCCAGTATTAAACTATATTACGCATTTATTTAAAATAATAAAAAAGCTTTTTAAAACATTTTATAACATTTGTATTACATTAAAACTTGTTTTAATTTAAATTCATTATTATAGTTCATAAATATTTAAATCTAGAAAGGAATAAATTACTAAAAGCATTATCTTTTTCTCTCTCTGCAACTACTCACTTCAGTTGGTGCAATATATTTTCCCCTAATGACTAGAAGACCAGAAAGTTATTTCTGAGTACAAATTTGATACACAAAGAGATCTTTCACTTAAAAACTAAAGATTCCTATAAGGCAACACATTTCACATTTGTAGAAAAAACTGTTACACCAGAAGGGCCAACACCCAAAAGCCAAATAAAGAAATAAAAATCAGAACAAAACATACTTTCTTTTTCAGACCACAACATACCACTGATGTTTCCTCAAATAATGTTCCAAAAACCGAACATTTTCCAAAATTCCAAATAAAGTTTAGAAGCGCTGAAAATTTACTTAATAACTCTGAGTTCTCATTTCATGCCTAATATTTTTGAAATTTAATAACAATATAGCCTTAAAAATTAAACTAAATGTTACATTTTAAGAAACAAGGACTTCAAATTCATTTACATAAAATTACATAAACTACAGAGTTTATAATCTACCTACTGTGAACCAAAAATATTCCTTCTAAAATATACAAAGTCTTATTTTGATCCATACACTTTGGAATTCCAGACTGTTGAGGTACTTATTTTCCAAATCTCATAATTTTTTTTTAAGTAGGCTTTGATTAATTTATTTTCAATGCCTACATGCTCTATATGGGCCAGATGGGGTGTAGAGCTGACCAAGGTGATAATGAATATTCATGTACTTCATGAAAGGGAGGAAGAAAAAAACTGATTATTTACTGTTGTGCAATCTGACCTTCAAAGAGAGATATTCTGAAACTTTCTTTTAGTTAACCAAAATCATGGTCCTAGTGTGTCAATGGAATATATCATTATCTAGCAGTGGCGCAGGAACAGGGACCAAGGTATATTTAACAGAAGCTGCCCTTCACAATTCAACAGATGGATCTGCAGTGGCTGTGTCCATGTGCGTATGCCTTACAACTTGACGGCCTAATTGCCTTTGGAAATTTTGCCAAGAAAAGCTGGTAATGGGGGGATAGAGGAGGAAGCTAAGAGCTTTTAAAGAAAAAGAGAATGAAGGAGATCTAAAACGTGGTAACTGAAATAGAAAAGTCTAGTTCAGAGAATTAAGTAGTCCCTCGAAAAGCAAAAATGCTGGGATTTGTGAATCCCAACAATAGTGGTGAATTAACATTTTCCAGGTGCTCTGAGGACAGCAGTCTTAGCAAAGATCTCATTCAGTACAACGCCAAATTTTGGGCCTCATTTTTTAAAAAGCTCTCATTTTCCCCACAGATAACCTGTTCGAAGAAGGGGAGAGGTATGGCTTTCCTGAAATCACCATGAAGCCTGGCTGGAGCCTGGGCTAGAGGCAAGGCCTACCGATGGCAGTGTCTGAGGAAGATTCAGCAATGCTCTGAACCCATCAAGGTTAACTCTCAATACTGAGTCTTTGCCAGCCCCATACCCCAGGATTCTTTTTTTTTTTTTTGAGATGGAGTCTCACTCTTTGGCCCAGGCTGGAGTACAGTGGCAGAATCTCAGCTCACTGCAACCTCCGCCTCCCGGGTTCAAGCGATTCTCTTGGCTCAGCCTCCTGAGTAGCTAGGATTACAGGCATGTGCCACCATGCCCAGCTAATTTTTGTATTTTTAGTAGAGACGGGGTTTCACCATGTTGGTCAGGCTGGACTCCAACTCCTGACTTCATGATCCGCCCGCCTCGGCCTCCCAAAGTGCTGGGATTACAGGCGTGAGCCACCAAGCCCAGCCACACTCCCTGATTCTAATTGGTATATAGGTGGTATCACTGCAGCAAAAAGTGTTATGCTGCACAATTTTGATCTCAGTGTACAGGAGAAGCTGCCTGACAAAAGCAAGGGTAAAATTTAAGCATCATCTGTTTGAGGTTGTTCTAGTGGGAGAACATCTCAGATGCAACTTATTGTGGAGTTTTCCTTGATCATCCTAACTAGGAGGCAGCCTCCCTCTCCTTGTGCCTCCCCATCTCTGTCTCTTTCTATCGTCTTAACCTGCTTTATCCTCCTTGGTAGCCATCCCCTCAACGTGACTCGGCGTACTTCTCATATGCCTCCCAACACCAGGATGAAAGCTCCCAAGAGAGGAGGGACTTTGGGTAACTGCTGCTATGTTCTGCACACAGAAGCACCTAGCGTGAAGCAGGTAAATGATAAATATTTGTTAAATGACTGTGTAAATGAATGTGAGAGCCCAGGATTGGACTTGTCTAAGGTAACTGTGGCAGCTACCCTATACAACAAAATCTAACATTCTATTAATTCTTTTTTTTTTTTTTTGAGACGGAGTTTCACTCATGTTACCCAGGCTGGAGTGCAATGGCGCGATCTCGGCTCACCGCAACCTCCGCCTCCTGGGTTCAGGCAATTCTCCTGCCTCAGCCTCCTGAGTAGCTGGGATTACAGGCACGCGCCACCATGCCCAGCTAATTTTTTGTATTTTTAGTAGAGACGGGGTTTCACCATGTTGACCAGGATGGTCTCGATCTCTTGACCTCGTGATCCACCCGCCTCGGCCTCCCAAAGTGCTGGGATTACAGGCTTGAGCCACCGCGCCCGGCCATTCTATTAATTCTAAGATGCACCATTATTTTACTTATCACTAACGCAGAAAGAAATGCTGTCAATTATCACAGGATTCCATGGACTCTAAGAAGCAACTTGAGCTCAGAAATGTTAAAATGTAAAAAATATTTACAGAATTGACCTAAATACATCTAAAGGAGTATCTGAGACCCTATATTCTCTTCATACCATGTTTTACTATCTGCAAATATGTGCATTTGTCTCTCTCCCTCTCAGTAGGAGGTAAATTCCATGAGGGCAGGATGTTTTCCTGTTTATCAGTGTAGCCTCAGGACCTGGAATAGAATAGTACCTGGCACACAGCAGATGCTCAGTAAGTATATGACAAATCAACTATGAATCCCTAAAGTAACAGCTTGGTAGAGGGGGAAATGGTTTTGAGGGACCATCTTGTATGAAGGGGAAAGAGCAAACAACAAAAATGGAGAGGAATACGGAGAAGGGTTGGTGTGATTTTCAAATGATGGCATCTGAGCCTCCTCCTGGGCTGTGTCAGTCACTATCCTTCTTTCCTTCCCTATCTGGTGCTTGCTGGTGGAACCTTCGTGTTAAAAGTCAAGGTACTTATATATTCTTACAAATATGTATCATTTAAAACACATAAGGGGCCGGGTGCAGTTGCTCACACCTGTAATCCCAACAGTTTGGGAGGCCGAGGTGGGCAGATCACCTAAGGCCAGGGCTTCGAGATCAGCCTAGCCGACATGGTGAAACCCCGTCTCTATTAAAAATATAAAACTAGGCTGGGCATAGTGGCTTACACCTGTAATCCCCGCACTTTGGAAGGCTGAGGTGGGCAGATCATGAGGTCAAGAAATCGAGACCATACTAGCCAACATGGTGAAACATCATCTCTGCTAAAAATACAAAACTCAGCTGGGTGTGGTGGCGAGCACCTGTAGTCCCAGCTACTTGGGAGGCTGAGACAAGAGAATCCTTGAACCCGGAGGCAGAGGTTGCAGTGAGCCAAGATCTTGCCACTGCACTCCAGCCTGTCGACAAAGCAAGACTCTGTCTCAAAGAAAACTACAACAACAACAACAAAAATTAGCTGGGTGGTGATGTGTGCCTGTAATCACAGCTACTCCAGAGGCTGAGGTGAGAGAACTGTTTGAGGCAGAGGCTGCAGTGAGCCAAGATCCTGCCACGGCACTCCAGCCTGACCAACAAAGTGAGACTCCGTCCCAAAAAACAAAACAAACACCATATAAGGGATAAAATTATTCTACCACTGAATGCTTCAGAACCGTCCAACCCTTACCCTCTTGTAGGTCAAAAAGAATTTAGAACCTATAAAGCAAAGTTGCTCCTTAAACTGGGTAACCTCACAATCAGCTATAAATACAGGACCAGGGTGGGCAGTTTCTTACCTGCTGTTTATTGCCTTTTCTTGTTAACATGACAAATGGCATTGTGTCTGCAGACTCGGCCTCTCCTTCCCCACCTCCCAGTGGGGGCCCTTTTCTCAGTTGGCTTTTGAGATGCAAAGGAATGGCAACATCAAGTTGGTGTACTTTAACAGATTCACCACTTCGTTGCTAAAAGAAATTAAAAGGGACATAATAAATACCCCAAGATATACATATATATGGATATATGTCAATATAAATACAAACTCATTCAATGCTGTATTTCTTAAAACACAACAGTCATAAGAGCCATTAACAGTCAACAATCACAACCACCATAATACTCCTTCTGAAACATGGATAAACCCAAGTATTTCTCCCCTCCACCTAACAGCTCTGTCTATGACATGGAAGGAACCGTGGGACTTGGCTTCTGTTGATGGCTCCAGCCTTTCCCAAGCATGCAGTGCTGTGGGTTCTACCGAATTCTCCTGTTCCTCAAACACCCTACGCCCTTCTATTCATCCTCCTAGACCACATCTTCCTTTGTAATCACCAGGCAGGGTGGGCTCATCACTGCATCCCTTTCTCCAGGGCTCCCCAGCAGGGCGTCACCCACAGCAGGCGCTCATGGAGTGCTGAAGAATGAATGAAATCTATGACCATTTGATTAATTCCTTGGTTAGTAATATCAATTATTTTTAACATTGACACTCAACTTTCCAATCAATTAATTAAATGAACCTTCACTGAAGACTTGCCATGTGTTACAGGCTTGGGGATAGTAATGGTAAAAATAATTGGCCTCTACCCTCAAAGAGCTCATAAACTTGTTAAGACAGATATAGCAACAATTATGATGACACCTCACAGGTGTATATCACCTATGGAGGAGACTAAGTGACTACCTGTGCCTGGCTGGGAGTGGCTGCGTGCCTTTCATGAAAGGCTGAAAAGAAATGGTACATTTAAGAATATGAAAGACTTCATCCGACTTCTTCCAAGCAGATGGTAAAAGAGCAGTTTGGGTGATGCGGAGGGAATCAAGGTAGGGGAAGGAATAGGTGCAAAAGCAAGGACATGAACCAGCAGGGTGCACTTAGGGAACTGAAAACACAGGACTGATTAATGAGCAGCAAAGAGAAAAGAGCTCAACGTTCCTCAAAGCTAGGGAGGGAATGCTGAAAGGCCATAAAAGTCTTGGAAACTGCTCTCCCACCATTTAAACAGTCTTCTGATACAGGCCCTACACATTCAAGAGGCTTGCAAATCAAGCAACATCGTGTTTTATTGTTTGTTTTTTAAGTTCCAATTTATCAGAATCTGCTTGAAGTCTTCCCAGGTTCATAAGATTTAAAAAGACTTTTTACTTAAAATTCAAAAGAAGCATGATAGACAAATATTGATTTCTCTTCCTGATTATAAAATTAACATATTCTCTTCATAAAATATTTAAATACAAAAACGTGTTAGTAAGTATGTCCACACTACTCCTCCAGATACTTCCCTGTGCCCCAACCCCAAGATGCAACAACTATGAACAATGGGAGTATGATCTTCCGGATTTTTTCTCACATCTACTAACATACACATATAAACACAAGCAACCACTATGCATATCGTTGTATACTCAACATACATATTTTTTCTTCTGTTTAATCTCATTTCTTGGGCAACTTTCTCTTGAGTATATACAGTACTAATTACATTGATATGCCCTTATTATTTAATTGATTCTCTATTGACAGGCAATCCAGACTCTTTTTTTTTTTAATGCTCCTTCCCACACACGGAAGGACTTTCCCTCCTACCACAAACAATGTGACATCTTTATATATTTAGCTTTATAAAGAGAATTACTAACTAAGGGTAGATTTTTAAATCAACTGGCAAGCCCATTTGACAGGTTTACTGAATTTCCCTCTAAAAAAGCTGGACAGATTGACATTTGCAAATACCTTTGCTGAAACAAAACCAGACTGGGTATTATCACTTTGTAAATCTCTGTATCTGATGGTCTGATAAATGAAAAGGTTCATATTAATTTGCATATTATTTTATTACTCATGAGCTTGGGCATAATTTTGCCATTACCTTTCACACAATTAAAAAAAAAAAAAACTAGGTCATTCATAGTTTCTCATTGGTTTGCTATAGAAGTATTAGCCCTTTGTGTAGACTATAAATATTTTCTTCCTGGCCTGTCATTTCTTCAAGTTTCTTATAGCATCCTGTGCTACAAGGCAACACAGTAAAATGGTTGAGAACAGACTCCACCACTTCCTAGCCACGTGATTGTAAGCCAGCTTCTTGTCTTTCCAAGCCTGTTTCTTTAGCTATAGCAAAAGAATGCTAACAGTGTCTGACAGCACTGTGCAGAGAATAGATGTAAAGCACTTTATGCAGGGCCTAACAGCCTTCAAAATTATTGAAGTGTTTGATAGATTTGCAATTAATTCTGGTGTGGAAATAAAACAGAAAGTCTGCTTTATTTTTGTTTATTGCCTGTGTTCCCTTAACTAATGACTTGCAATGCTATCTTCATCATATTATTAAACTGTCATGTTTTGGGTCTATTTTGGATTCCCTCCATCTCATTCATCTATTCCTGTATCAAACTATTATTGTCAGTTTAAAATGTTTTCATATCTTGTACAGCATTTCACTCATTTCCCAGAAATCTGTTAGCTATTTTACCTATTCTTACAGATGTTTTCAGAAATAATTTTAAATTCATTCTGCATTGATCTCCCTGCTCTTCTCTTTCCCATGCAAAAACAAAACAAAACAAAACATCTTCCTGGTGTGATATAATTAGGATTACACTAAGTTTAAGGGCTTGATTTATGAAGAATTAATATCTTTAGGATATTGCATCTTCCTATGACAATTTCATCAAAACAAAGAGACTGTACAGTTTTTCAGTATTTTGATAATGCTTAAAAACTAGGGCCCAATATAGGATTAAGTTTTTCTCCAGCACAAGAAGCACATCTGCAAAAATGTGAATCCAAACTTCCCTCCTCCTTGATTACATCTTCCCATCCTTCCAGCTTGCTTCTTCAAAGAACTGTCAATAAGCAAAAATTATTGGACTATATCAAAATCTTAAGTTCCTTTGACTTCACCAGCTTTTCTACCTTATTTCTAAATGTTAGGATTCTTCAGGTCTCAATCCTGACCCTGCTTCTCTCCTCTCTCCACACTTTACACCAGGGATGACTCACTTGTTCCCATGCTTTAAATATACTCTACCAATCACATTTATGTTTTCACTCCACATATCCCTCTAATCTCCATTTTGACATTTCCATTTTGACATCTCACAGGCTTCTCAAACACAACATGGCCAAAGGGGAACTTTTGCTCATTGGTCCCTTGTTTCCTGTCCCAGAGGTTAGCCAGTGGCCCAATCCGGAAAACCAACTATCATCTTTGACCCCTCGCCCCCTACACACCTACATCCAATCCAGCACCAGATAAGCCAGGTCGTTCTATCACCTAAATAGCTCAAATTCAGACTTCTCTCCATGTGCCTGGCCATAAGCTATACAGCTGAGCATCATCTCTCACCTGAGTCACCACAACAGCCGTCTGCCCAGGCTCCCTGCTTTTAGTCTTGTCCTGGTGGTTACCCCTGCCTTCCCGCATAGGATCATGCCCTGCCCTCTATTAGTGCTGGCCTTCTTTTCATTTTTCAAATACAGGTTCTTTACTCCCTCAAGACCTTTGACAGACTGTTCCCATTTTCGCTTTAATTTTCTCCTGGATGGATGGCTCCACTTGACTTGCCCTGTTTGAAATTCATGATCTCAGAGATGTCTTCCCCATTATTCTATTTAGGAAGGCCCTTCCCTTACTCTCCAACAAAGCATTCTGCTCTTAGCATTAACACAATTTGAAATGATGTATTTGTTTAGCTGTTAAATATCTACCTTCCATCAGAACAGGAACCATATCAGTTGTATTTACCACTTTATACTTAGCCTGATGCACACTGCTAGGCACATAGTAGGTGCCCAATAAACATATCGAGTGGCAGAGTAAATGGCTATTGAGTCATATAAGATGGGAAATTTCTCAAAGTAGAAAACTAGTCTCTCCTCCCAGGGATTATAATGATTATGTTTTATTTGATCACTTGGGCTCCTAAATGACATAAATGTAAGATTTACTTCATAAATTAGGAGCTTTCTGGATATATGAAGACATTATTTTACTATATAGAGGAAGAAGTAGATCTCCTAAAACACCTGTAACACTAATTTGCACTTGATCATACCTTTGGCTGTAGCAGCATCAAGGAAAGTAAAATCCAATATTTCAACTCTAAAGGACTGCTCCATGAGCATATAAAGACTCCATAATATCTTCTACCTTAAAAAAAAAAAAACCCTGTCTTTTAACTCTATGACCTTCTCTAGCTACCTCCCCATTTCTCTTCCCTTTCTAGCAAAACTCCTCAGGACTTATCTACATCCAGTATCCTCACTCCCTCCCTTCCCATTTTCCACCAAACCCACCCCAATGGGGCCTGTGTCCTGCCATTCAAACAAATCCACTCTTCAAGTCACCAAAGGGTTAACAACAAGTGCATATAGGGTTGAAGTTAACAGTCTAAGATTTTGCCTCTAACTCTAAAAAAAAATAGTTACTTCAAATTACTGTGGCATTCAAAAAGCTGCTAGATGGTATTTTTTAGAAAATCCAGTTTATTTATGCTATAAATACATTAAACAACTAGTATTTCTTTAAACATTAAATAACGAATATTTTTCCATTAACACAGACGCTATTCAACTAATAAATGTAAGAATTTACTAAATTAAATGACCCCAAAATGTCTATCTTCTGCACGGTTTGGCATCCAAACAAACTGCAAGAAAGAAGTCTTAGAAATGACTTAATAGGCTGGGTGTGGCAGCTTACACCTGTAATCCCAGTACTTTGAGAGGTCAAGGCAGGTGGATCACCTGAAGTCAGGAGTTCAAGACCAGCCTGGCCAACATGGTGGAACCCTGTCTCTAGTAAAAACACCAAAATTAGCCTGGGGTGGTGGCATGCACCTGTAATCCCAGCTACTTGGGAGGTTGAGGCACAAGAATCCCTTGAACCCAGGAAGTAGAGGTTGCAGTGAGCCGAGATCACGTGACTGCACTCCAGACTGGGCAATAGAGCGAGAATCTGTCAAGAAAGGAAGGGCAACTGGGAGGGGAGTGGAGAGGAGGGAAGGGGGGAGAGGGAAGAAGGAAGGGAGGGAGGGAGGAAGGAAGGGAGGGAGGGAGGGAGGGGCAAATATTGGCAGAATGAAATTATTCTGTTCCAAATCTTGTGTGTGTTGCATTTTCTCCGACTCTACCTCATGCAAATCAGGATGTGGGATACAAGAAGGACAAGCAGCTGCAAGCTGTCTACACACAATCTATCAAAAGCTGTGGCAGAAGAGACAGAGACACTTAGATAGGAGAAGCCTTCAAAGGAACCAGAATGTAATGGGCTGCAATGTTTTGTATAGAGAAGAGTCTTTGGAACAAACGATATTTAATACCTGCAGATTTTCTAGCATCATTTTATCCAGAGCTTGAATGAAGTCCTCATCTTCTACACAAGGTACATGCTTAAGTCCACCGCCTTTAATCATTACCTCCTTATTAAAACAGAACAATAAAATCAGACCAGAAATTTTAATTGTAATGTTTTCCAGGGCAAAGCCTTTCAGTATTGATAACTTGTTCAACAAAACTCAAGGAGTAAAGTGAGTAAAATATCTAACATTATTCAATGTTAAAAGAACTTAAAGAAAATGGTTAGGAAAACAAATTGAAATGAATTTCTAAAGAAATATTTTTTATAATCAAAAGAAAATCTAAAGTTTTTGTTTCTTTTGATTATTACTAAAATTAATTAAAATACTTTCTTTTATTACTGAAATTGAAATACTATAAAAATGTTGCACAATTTTAAAAAGTAAATTTTTCAGCAGTACGTACAGTATTCTCTTCATCAGTTTCATTTTCCTTATTGGAATCTGTAAGGTAATCTGTATTCTCTTCCTCCTCCTCTTCTCCCTCATCATCATCATTATCAGAACCCTCCTGAAATTATAGAACATGAGATTAAAGCACTTTGAGAAGCATAACCACACTTTACACACCTTAAAAAGATTTCAAAAACTTCTGTATAATTGTTAATTGTTTATTATTCTCAAGTTTTAGCTCTTTATGTAGTCTACCTTCAATAGGAGGGCAAAGTCAGCTGGCAACATTCAAGATAAATCAGTCATTGAAAACCCCTCTCACTACCTTCAGCAGATCTAACAATACAGAGATCGAATGTAGAAGCTCTTCCTTGAATTCCATAAAGAACAAGTTTCCTAAGCCTTTTGTGTTCTCCTCCTCCTGAAACTAATCTAGAGAGGCTGAATGTTCTTTAATACCCATCTAACGGCAATGGAAACCAACAAAAGTTCAAATGGAACAGCATTAACAGCTGAAAGCAATGATACAGCATTACCTTTATAAAGCACTTCAGTTTGGAAGGTGTTTCATACACTTCATTTTGTTTGCTCTACCCAATTCAGAGGATGGAAGGCCAAGCTTTATTGTTCCCATTTTATACATGAAAAAACTGAGGGTCAGAAAAGTGAAGTTACTTGCCCAAGGGCACACTGCTATTAAGCAGAAGGGCTGGCCGCTCATCTCCCCCTAAATGGCGGTTCTCAAGGACTACTTCAACCCATCTTCACAATCAGTCTCTCCTTCCATCCACTTTCATCAGCTGAAATTTCTTCTCAAACAGATGGGGCAGAGCCCCGACAGATTTTCAAAGGGCATAAGACACAGAGTGCAGCTTCCTTTACTCCTCCACCCCAGTATCACAAGTCACCCCTATGTGGTTCCTCAAGAGTTAAAAAGAAAAAAAAAAAAAGACTAAACCCAGCTGCTTCTCACTGTGCCAAGATGACCAAATAATTCCTGAAACAAATGACTTAAATGTCTTATCTTTAATACATTATCTTTAGTGTATGTACCAATTAATTCCGAAACTCCAAAAGTGTACTGAAGATTTTGAGTTCCTAAAATGAAAACATCTCAAAAATGTATACCAATGACTGGATGCCACGGCTCACACCTGTAATCCCAACACACTGGAAGGCTGAGGTGGGGGGACCACTTGACAGCAGTTTAAGACCAGCCTGGGCAACATGGCGAAACCCCGTTCCTACCAAAAATACAAAAACATTGGCCAGGCATGGTGGCAAGTACCTGTAATCCCAGCTACTCGGGAGGCTGAGGCAGGAGAATCACTGGAACCCAGGAGGCAGAGGTTGCAGTAAGCCGAGGTTGCACCACTGCACTCCAGCCTGGGTGAGGGAGTGACTCTATCTCCCCAAAAAAAGAAAAATGCTGGCTGGGCGAGGTGGCTGACACCTGTAATCCCAATACTTTGGGAGGTTGAGGTGGGTGGATCACAAGGTTAGGACTTCAAGACCAGCCTGGCCAAGATGGTGAAACCCTGTCTCTACTAAAAATACAAAAAAACAGGCATGGTGGTAGGCGCCTGTAATCCCAGCTACTCAGAAGGCTAAGGCAGGAGAATCGCTTGAACCCATGGGAGAGAGGTTGCAGTGAGCCCAGATCACGCCACCGCACTCCAGGCTAGGCAACAGAGTGAGACTCCATCTCAAAAAAAAAAAAAAAAGACTAAAATGTACATCAATATATTACCTCCCCCCATGCATTAATGTTTTTTGAGTTAATTTTATAATTCAAAATTAAATTTGCAATAGAGGAGCTCTTAAATTTGCTCTTAAAAAAATGAATCCTTTGTTAACACTTAAAAGACATTTTGCATTCAAAAGCTAGACTAAAATACATTTTTCCCCCCGTCCATCCTTGATGTTTCATATTATTCAGGGAATGTAGCATGCATTAATTTGTCAAATTAAAATTTTTAAGAAGAATTTCATTTGCCCTAATCTCAGGGTACACTGATATAATAATGGGTGGAATTAAAATGTGCTCATCAATGGACCACAAAACCTAAGCAGGCTAGGGAAAGCAAGAGGAACAGTGTAGCAAAAGGCAAGCTGCCTTAGTTCAAGCACTGGCTCTACCACCACCTACTCTATGATCTTGGGTAAATTATTCAACCTATCTGTGCCTTCGTTTCCCACCTACTGCAAGGATAGTATGAGAAATGGTAATACAAATACAGTGCTTAGGGCAGTAACCATGAATAATAAATGCTCGGTAAATAACAAATTTATTTCTATTTTAAGAATGAATCTTGTACTTTCTGTTGATAAATTACATAATGCTAGAGAAAACTGGAGTTATCACAGACAAACATTTAATTTAAACAGTTATCTTTAATTTATAGAGCTGATATTTAAGAGAAAATGTTCTGGTTGTTAGATGCTAAGAATAACTTCAAAAGGTCAAATAGAACTTTAAATAGCTGAAGACCAAGATAAAAATAGAACACAGCATTTGTTTTTAAGAGCTGAATTCCAACCCTTCTGTCTCGAAGTAAATAACTGTAGAATATCCACTGCTCTTATTACTTCATAATCAATGCACTTTCTTTCTTTAATAAATTTATCCTCCTATGTTTGGAGGGTGATCATGGGAAATTGGTCTTGGAGTGAAAGGGGAAGTGAACTATTCCAACCTCATTTCTCACAAAGTGAAACATGGTCCCATCTCACTTCTCCCAGATAAAACATATGGATCCTCCCTCTGCACACTTTGTTTGCATTTTTAACTAGCAAACACATGTATCGTGTACAATATGCATTCTCCAACTGGAAAAGTAAGTAATGATTACAAATGATATAACTACCAAAATGATAAAGTTCATGTTTAAAAAGGAGAAAAATGCACTTAGAGGAGGAAACATATAACTCTTTAAATGAGAAATTAATAAGAAAATGAGTGCTCCTTAATGTATTTACCAAGAATGCTGGATTTTTTAGATACTGCTCGTGTAATTAGTGCAGCAGCAAAATCCAAAACAACCATAAGATTAGTTTGAAAATATGAAATGGAAATACTTTCTTATTTCCCTTTGTTGTTATAGAATACTTCATAAGCCTACTTAAATTCTACTACTGAATGTTTCTATTACAACCTCATTTTGAAAGCAAAGCAATATATTGTAATGTCCGTCTAGTATACTAAAGCCAATTAGGGAAACATACTCCAGTTCTGTATTTTTACCAACTTACTTATATCTAAAGAAGTTCTAAGGTTGTAAAGAAAAAGTGGTAGCAAATAACATAAATAATGATGCATTTCCACTGCCTATAAATACCAGCCAATTAGGAAAACCGTACATTATTGCCTATATTGTCTTTTCACAACCAATCCTTTTTAACTAACAGCAAAGTCATTTGTTATGCAGTAAAATGATTCCAAATACCCAGTAAGTTACAAAGCTTGAGGGTTAAAGGAAACACAGCCTTACAGATTCTTACATCTGACTGCAGAAAACTTTAATCACCTTATATTATGAGTCCTTTCTCTTTAATTCTAATAAAGCTTTTTTAAAAATCCAGTTTGCAAATCTATCTTATGAATGCTATAAACAATTAACATTCCTTTAAATATTAAACCCGCATTCTCGAAATATTTACATTCCATTTACTTAGATAAGTAAAAACTTTAAAACTGAAATTAAATTTCCCCAAAACACTTAAGTATTGATTACAAATTTAAATTTTCAATATTTAATTAAAATAATACTTTCAGTGAAAAATTGCTAATTTCATGACTTACATTTTATTTTCATCAGTATTCTATTCGTCTCTTTACTCATTCTAACTTTTGAAACTCTCTTGTTTTGTTTCTTCTATACCGCTAACCCATTCCCCAATCTACCTCCAGATTATGAAGCAAATCCCAGATATCCTTTAATTTGGATCACTTTTTTTTTTTTTTAATGCAAAGAAAAAGGGTCTCACTAGGTTGCCCAGGCTAGACATGAATTCCTGGGCTCAAGCAATCCTCCCGCCTCAGACTCCTGAGTAGCTGGGACTACAGATGTACACATTTTCATGGAACGTTTAAACCTAAGTGAGTTTGGAAAAAAAAAAAAAACCTGGAGAATCAGAGGCCAAACGTGGTAGCTCAGGTCTGTAATCCCAGTATTTTGGAAGGCCGAGGTGGGAGGATCACTTGAGGCCAGGAGTTCAAGACCAGCTTGGCCAACATGGTGAAACCCCATCTCTACTAAAAATACAAAAATTAGTCAGGCGTGGTGGCACATACCTAAAATCCTAGCTACTTAGGAAGCTGAGGCACAAGAATTGCTTAAACCTGGGAGATGGAGAGTGCAGTGGGCTAAGATTGTGCCACTGCACCCCAGCCTGGGCGACTGAGTGAGGAATGTCTCAAACAACAACAAAACCTAAAGAATTAAAACTGCTACTTTTAATCATACAGAAATGACATTTTGCTAAGGCAGAAACAGTAAAAGAGCAATTTCATATGGTTTCGCTTAACAGAATCAGAGATGCACAAAGGGCATATCAATTACTGTGGTATGTGTTGAATTTCAGATTTCATATAACCAAGAGATCTGGGGAAAAATAAAGCAAAGCTCATTAATATCTAGCCAGTAATTTTGTTCTGAAGAATATAAAATCCACTAACTAAAAAGTCCATATTCAACAGTGAGATGAAGATACACAAGAAGTGGAGTGCAATGGCTCACACCTGTAATCCCAGCACTTTGAAAGGCTAAGGGGGAGGACTGCTGGAGCCCAGGAGTTTGAGACCAGCCTGGGCAATATGGCAAGATCCCCATCTCTACCAAAAAAAAAAAAAAAAAAGTAATTAGCTTGGCGTAGTAGCATGTTCATGTGGTCTCAGCCACTCACAAGGCTGAGGTGGGTGGATCGCCTGAGCCCAAGAGACTGAAGTTGCAGTGAGCTATGATCACACCACTGAGCTCTCATCTTGGCCACAGAGAGAAACCCTGTGTCCAAAAAAAGAAAATACGCGGAGATTAAACAATTATTTTCTTTAAATTGCTTATTAAATAAAAATGCTATAATCAGCATTTTATTACTTTCTTTAAAAACTTTTAATTAAACAATGGATTTTATAACAGAAACATACTACTAGTTACATTTACTATCATACAAGTAAGGAGGAGGCCAGGTGCAGTGACTCACGCCTGTAATCCCAGTACTTTGGGATGCTGATCACCTGAAGTCAGGGGTTGGCGACCAGCCTGGCCAACATGGTGAAACCCTGTCTCTACTAAAAATACAAACATCAGCCAGGCATGGTGGCAGGCACCTGTAATCTCGGCTACTCGGGAGGCTGAGGAAGGAGAATCACTTGAACCCAGGATGCAGAGGTTGCGGTGAGCCAAGATCACGCCACTGCATTCTAAACTGGGCAACAGACCAAGACTCTTGT